CCACTGGGCTCGTGTTCCTGCCACTTCTGTGGAGAGGGCACGGCTTATTCTGGGGGAGCTGCCCTAGAGCTAATGTCCTCCGAGGACTGACCCACGGCTGGTACGGCCCCAGAAGCGGGGACGCGACGAGCCTGCACATCTGCCTCTCCCGCGGCCATCACCAGCCATGGCCCACGCACATTCTCCTTGTCTCACTCTTTCAGTGGCATTCCCGTTTTACTGGTGATGGATTTATGCCTTTTTTTTTCCTGTCCAACCACCCTGAAACCAAACCAAGTCAAATTGTGAGGGGCATGTAGTGGCCGGTCCCCGAGAGCGCTGTTTCTGAGTTCTCTGGATGCCCTCAGAGCCCCTGAGAGGTGGCTTCACAGGTAGATGTAGGTTCTGAGATTTCCGGATGTCCTCAGAGCCCCTGAGAGGTGGCTTTGCAGGTAGATATAGGTACTGAGTTCTCTGGATGTCCTCAGAGCCCCTGAGAGGTGGCGCTGCCGGTAAATGTAGGTTCTGAGTTCTCTGGATGTCCTCAGAGTCCCTGAGAGGTGGCTTTGCCGGTAGATGTAGGTTCTGAGTTCTCTGGATGTCCTCAGAGCCCCTGAGAGGTGGCTTCACAGGTAGATGTAGGTACTGAGTTCTCTGGATGTCCTCAGAGCCCCTGAGAGGTGGCTTCACAGGTAGATGTAGGTTCTGAGTTCTCTGGATGTCCTCAGAGTCCCTGAGAGGTGGCTTCACAGGTAGATGTAGGTACTGAGTTCTCTGGATGTCCTCAGAGCCACTGAGAGGTGGCTTTGCAGGTAGATATAGGTACTGAGTTCTCTGGATGTCCTCAGAGCCCCTGAGAGGTGGCGTTGCCGGTAGATGTAGGTTCTGAGATTTCCGGATGTCCTCAGAGCCCTGAGAGGTAGCTTTGCAGGTAGATGTAGGTGGGAGGGGGGGTTGTGTTTTCCACCCTGAGTCTAATCAGTGTCTTCTCTTGCTGCCATTATTCAGCCACCTGCTTAGACGTTTCTGCAAACCGAAAGCCTCCTGGGCGCTCACTCTGGGTGCCGAGCGGCCTCTGCCCGCCTTCCATGCAGGGGCTGCCTCGGTGTCCACATCTCCTCCCTTCCATCCGGCGCAGTCTCCGCCACGAGGAATGCCTTGCTGAGGGCTCCTGGGGCCTTCCCACCCGAGGTCCAGGGTGAGGCTGACACATTCATCACCATCTTTCCTTTCGTCAGCTGTATGGTGAGATGGTCCTCACCACATAGTTCACCCATTTGCAGTGTGCTGCCCAGGGCCACTGCTGTGCTTGCAGATGCCACAGTCACATGTGGGAGGCTCCCGTTGCTCCCAAGGACCCATTTCTGTCTGTGATCACCCGTCCCTCTTCCCCTGCCTCCGGTGCTGAGTGACCCCTGATCTACCTCCGTCTCAATCGAGTCCCCATTCCCGACGTGTCCCATGGCTGCATCCATGCAGTTCGTGGCAGCATCTGCCTGAGCACCCACGAGGTTGGGTGGCCTCCAGGGCCCACGCAGGCGCACCCACGAGGTTGGCCATCATAGGTCGCATGTGATAGCCTCGCTGGACCAGGCTCATGAGGAAAGGAAGGCGTCTGTGGTGCGCCAGGCCTCTGTTTGGCTGGGAAGCCACCTCAGCATGTGCCAGGCTCAGAGGACACCAGCCGGCGCTGACCCTGTGCTGGCATTGAGGGTTCCGTGAATGGCTGCACCTGGACCTGCTCCACACACAGCAAGGACGGGACTGAGGGAGCGAGGGGTGGGCCTGGGTCTTCATCCTGGCCCCGCCGACTGTGGCCCTGTGTGTCTGCGTGCAATAGCCTCTCAGCGTTGTGCCACTGATACGTATCATTTTTATATCATAATTATAATATCACAGTGCCTGGCTAGCTTCTCCAACTCTAATGTTATTTTCATTTTTAATGAGTTACTCACTGTTATTTTTAGTTAATTCACCTTTTATTTAGAAAATCCTCAATTCATCTGAATTTGTTTCATGTGTTTGATTTTCCAAGTTGGACACGGCTTTGAAAATTATTAATCTCAATACGCTGAGGACTGGAGAATATGGATACTCTCATATTCCTGGGGGTGGGGTGGGGGAGGGTAAAATCATGCACCTGTTTTTCTGAGCATTTTGACTATCCACACCCAAGACCTTAAAAATGTAGGTGCCTTTGACCAAACAAATATATTTCCTAGGATTTATCATTAGGAAGAAATTGTGGAAGTGTGCAAAAGTATGTTTATAAGAATATATAATGCAATACTATATTAGCCAAAAGTTAGAAGAAACCTTAATGCCCAACATTAGGAAACTGGTTAAATAAAGTATATTAATATGTTCAGTGGAATACTCTACACCCATTTAAAAGGCTATGATAAAAATAGTATTTCATGAGGTAGAAGTACAGAATGCTATCTTTAAGGTGAAAGAATAAGCAGATTGCTAAATAGTGTATATGATTCTGTTTTCACTAAATTATATTATTGAAAGATTATGGGGTTAATTTTCTTCACATTTGCTTGTTAATTGGGAGATGTATAGTTACGTGAACAAAATGTCAGGATGATAAACCTGTTATCTGATGCAAAGAGTTCTGAGCATATAACTTTGTTTCAGAATTGCATTTTTACATTAAATCTGTGTGTGTGAGCCGGTAGTGGCCTGGATTTCCACTGTACAGAGAACTCATCAGCCCCGAACGATCATGGGGGTTTGTAATTCCCTAGGAGTGGGAGAGAAGCCGTGTGCCCACCTGGCGTTCTGCGGGGGCAGGGGTGTGGGCTGTGTCCTCCAGAGCCTCTAACGAAGTGACTGTGTTTTCCCTGCAGCTACAACCCCTTCGATGGACCGAACGAGAACCCCGAAGCCGAGCTGCCCCTCACGGCGGGAAAATACCTCTACGTCTATGGAGACATGGATGAGGATGGGTTCTATGAAGGTCTCTGTTGGAACGTGGCTGTGACGGACGTAGGCTGGGCTGGTCCACCCCGCAAACCACTTCGTCCAGGGCCCTGATAGACGGGCAGGGCTCCCACCGTACTCCCGGCTGCCCAGCCCTCCGCTCTGACCCTTCCCCACTCCACAGTTACCAGGTTTCCCCTCTTTGATGACTGGAAAGAAACCTGAGTGGGGTTTCCAGTGTTCAGCTCCAGGTTGACCTCTGACACATGACAGATGTTTTCTGCTCATCTCTGCAGAGCTTTTGGCAGCTGTTCCCAGACGCACGGGGCTGATGGACCCTCTGCTTCCAGAAGGGTCTGTCCTGCTCTTGTCTTTCAGCCCAGCTCCCTTGGGGTCTCCCAGAGGCATCCTCCTGGCAGAGCCTCATTCTGCTGCAGGTGATCTCATGGGAAGGTAGCCCTTGGCACCTGTGGAAGAGGCACTGTTGTTAACTTAGGGGGTGACCCCAGGTCATCCCTGCTCATTCCCTCGAGGTCTTCTCTCCAAATTTGAAATCAGGGAATGTAAATCCTCCATCTGAAATGCCCCACCTTTCGTTGCCTTTTTAGCTTGAGAATAAACATGTAACAGCACCAGCAGTTCATAAATCAATGTTCTAAAGGGTTTGATTCCCTAATTCCCTACACATTTCAACTGCCCTGGACAAACAGCGTGGTCTTGGTTTCTTCCTCTTCCCCCTGAGCAGACGGAATCTTTCTTGCTGAGCTAGTTTCTCTTTCGTGACCTCATGCTGTTTTCTCAGAGCCAATGGAAGCCCTGGGTGCTTTTCCTGGGTGTTTAACTGGGGTAAGGTCGTGTCGCCTCTAGAGGCGTCCGTGAGCGGGAGCCCAGCAGGCGAGCTGCCTCGCTCACCACTCGCTCACCACTCGCTCACCAGCAGCTCTTCTTGGCTCTGGGTTGTCCAGCCAAGAACTCTCACCACAACTGGTAGCAAAGCAATTTGAATTCTTCCCATAAGTCCACATTATCACCACTGATTTTCACATAAGCACAGAGATATGTGCCCAAGACAGCTGCCAGAGAACCTGTGTTGAAATCTCTGGAACTTTCTCGCCACGCATTGAGTCCACAGAAGCTTTCCAGGAGCCTCTTTGCAGGCAGGGATCAAAACTCAGGACTCCATTGTCCGTGTGACAGCAGGAAATTTCCTTCACCTGGCTGTGCCTCAGCTTTCTCTGCTATAGAATGGAGATAGTAATAGTACCCACCTCATAGAGGGTCTATGAGGATAAATGAGGTAATAGATATGAAGGTCTTAGGACAGAGCTTAGCACACAGTGATTGTTCAATAAATAGTAGCTATCACTATCACCACCACCATTATAATCATCCTCATAATCACCATCACCATCTCATCACCACCACCATCATCGTCATCACCACCATCTCCTCCAAACTAAGGATTTTTAAATAGTGTATCCTCAGTGCAAAGGATTGACTCTTGCAGACCCAAACCCTAGGTGGAGGTTTGGAACTGAATCCAAGTCCTTCTTATTTATTTTTTTAGAATCCAGGACTAATTAAATGGTTGACATGTCTTCGCCTGGCCCACAACACATCACATGCTCCCCTGAGGCACAGGGTCTTTCGGGCGCAGAATTCAATGCTTGGCATTTCCCAGCCCCTCTCTGTGGGTCTGTGGATGCCTCGTGATGAATTGGGGGAAACGGTCCATTCTGGGTCTGTGCTGGGAGATTATCCAAATTGCTTCATCTTTGAAGCTCTGAACGCGTCTCCATTTTCTGGCCATCTGCTGTTAGCAGCCTCGTGAGCCCTACTAATGAAGAAAGCACATAGTTTCACAAAATACGGCGGTCCCCACTACATCCACTCTTAGCCACAAGAGCTACTTGGACATTTTTTTTGCAACTCAACTTGTGGTTCTGACACCCAATTGATAGTTTTGTTTCACATCAAATTGGACACGTTGTGGAATCGTTAAGATGTGCCCAGTGCTTTTCAAGGGGGACAGGAAATCACCTTTTAATTCTTATACTCAAAAATCATAGTAAGATGTTTATTTTCTTAATCTCCAAAAGCCACTGAGTTGACTGACTCGTCCTTCTAACATATCTTTCCTGTGCACTGTTGTGAGCGAGCTGTCACTCTAGGGCTGGGCATTCAGTCGTCGTGAGATCCCTGCTGTCCCCGAGTATTGTTCGTGTTAGGAGGGGGTAGTCAGTGTAGGTACATGGACACACAAACATGACGGTTTCAGGTTGCGATAAATATCATGGAGAAAAGAAGACTGGGCCATGGGGCTGGAGGAGCTGGCTCTTTAGATGGTGGGTGTGGAGCTGGCCCCAGCATGGACTCCTGGGAACAGTGGAGGAGCCCTAGGGCAACCCTGTTGCTCTGCCTGATGGTCCTGGTGGGGGAAGTGGGAGTACGCTGGGGGTCTCGGGGCCCCTGCTGTGTTGGCTGAGCGATAACTCTGTCCTTGTACCCAACAGGAGAGCTCCTCGATGGCCAGAGGGGTCTGGTGCCCTCCAACTTCGTGGACTTTGTGCAGGACAACGAGTCGCGGCTGGCAAGCACGCTGGGGAACGAGCAGGATCAGAACTTCATCAACCATTCCGGCATCGGCCTGGAGGGAGAGCACATCCTGGACCTCCACTCCCCAACCCATACGGACGCGGGCATCACCGACAACAGTGCCGGGACCCTGGACGTGAACATCGACGACATCGGAGAAGACATCGTGCCTTACCCTAGAAAAATCACCCTTATCAAACAACTCGCCAAAAGTGTTATTGTGGGCTGGGAGCCCCCGGCGGTGCCACCAGGATGGGGAACCGTGAGCAGCTACAACGTCCTGGTGGACAAGGAGACGCGCATGAACCTCTCCCTGGGGAGCAGAACTAAAGCCCTCATCGAGAAGCTCAACATGGCAGCCTGCACCTACCGCATCTCCGTGCAGTGTGTCACCAGCAGGGGCAGCTCGGACGCGCTGCAGTGCACGCTGCTGGTGGGCAAGGACGTGGTGGTGGCCCCCTCCCACCTGCGGGTGGACAACATCACGCAGATCTCCGCCCAGCTCTCCTGGCTGCCCACCAACAGCAACTACAGCCACGTCATCTTCCTCAACGAGGAGGAGTTCGACATCGTCAAGGCCGCCAGGTACAAGTACCAGTTCTTCAATCTCAGGCCCAACATGGCCTATAAGGTGAAGGTTCTGGCCAAACCCCACCAGATGCCGTGGCAGCTCCCGCTGGAGCAAAGGGAGAAGAAGGAGGCCTTTGTGGAGTTCTCCACGTTGCCTGCAGGTGAGCCCTGTGTCCTTCCGTGGGTCCCCCAGGGCGAGAACACCAGGTTGTCACCCTGCTCGTGGGGAAAGAAGGTGGGGCAGGCAGAAGCTGCAATCCCCATCCCGACAACATGACCCTGGAAAATCCCTTAGGTCACCCGTGAAGCACAGGACGTGTGTGCGTGCACGTGCGCAGGAGTCCTTGGAGCATGTTGGGGACCATGTTGGCAGTTTTTCTTTGAGTACTTGCATCAGCAAGAGACTCATCCTACAAAAGACAGGAGGGAAGTGAGTCCCCCCAGGGAACATGGTTGCATCTTCTGTGTCACATGCACCCCCGGACACATACTCATTGAGTGGGATAGTGCCTGGAAGTGCCT